GGGCCGTTTGCCCTGTCTGGTTAAATTTAAATCCACGTAAAATATCGTTATCGTTAGTCGATGTGCTTGAAGGTTAAATATAACAGGCAGTGAAAAATATTAAGAAAGAAATGCTGTTGAATTACTTTGAATTTCTACTCCGAGGAAAAATATATCAGAATCATTCTGGATTCCAAATTTAAATAATATAGAGGAGAGAGCTAAGAAATCTCTAGCGGCATACTAGACGTATAAGAGGAACTTTGGAAAGCAATGAGGACTATCACCGTACATCGCTTATCGGATGTCCTTAGTATGGTGGACTCTTCCATACAAAGAGAATAAAAGGAAAATAATAGGATAAGTACAATGCTGCGTAGGCCTTGGCATATCGGCATGCAGCAATGCCGAACGAAATAAAAAGGGGCCGGCTGAATGGAATAAAAAGTTTACATAGAAGCCAGCACTCGCCAGCTTGGGACGTCCATACTAAGGGAACAATTGGGTTCCCGTTCAAAGATGAATGGGATGCAGGAACCCCCAGTAGTTAAGGTATGTATATCCATCAGCACTGATAATTCAAAGATGGAACAAGGAACTCGAGATCCCTGTCTGCCCAGAAGAGATCTACGCAATAGAAAGGGCAGCTCGTCTTTTACTTAGTAATAGAGTTCCAGGTGATAAGGCGACTGTATTTGTCGATAGTCAAGCAGCACTGAAGGCAATTGTATCGAAAATAGTGAAATCGGGAAATGTATGGAAATGTCAGGCCACGTTGGTTATATCAACGTCACTCTAGGCTGTGTCCCCCGGCATATCAACAATGAAGGCTAATGATACGGCTAAGAGATGCCCATAAAAGAAGCAGTTAACTCGTACTACCACCGTTTAGTTATCGTGTTAGGAAAATTGATGAATATACCGTGGCCGCGAGTAATGACTTGTGCAACAAGCGGTAAGACTGTGAGATCACCCTATTTATTACTATGGCCGCGGATTAGCAGGAAAAAGACGAGAGACCTACTGAAAATCAATACGTACAGTAAGAGTCCTTACCGGTTTCATCAAAGGACGCTATGCTATAGCACCAATACATAACCATGGCGAATACCAACAGTTACACTCTGCAGAAGCTGCCGTGATCGCGATGAGGAATAGTCAATTGACCACTTTCTGTATCGATGTGCGAGTATACAGTCAAAGCGACTCAAGCACTTGGGTTCACGCTCCTCCAAACTGCTAGATCGGAGGTTTGCCATTGCCTGCCGAGGGGTTACGTGTCTTTTTTATCTACGTATTTACGTCAAGGAACCCCCCGAGATCCCTGCCCCAATCTGTGTCTTACAGTCAGTTGTATAGTCTGTTTATTGATTACAATGTTCAGACTAGTCATTGGATTTTATTTATTTAAGTACTTCTGCTTATGATGACAATGTCAGCTGAGAACATACATAGAGTAGCTAAGTCGTCAAAAGTTTTCACTTATCCGTAAGCAGATGTGGTTCTTTGTTTTTCCTATATATTTTTAGCGCATGACTTACACAATCCAGTGCCGGTATTCATTTTTTCACATATAATTTTCCTACCTTTTTTGGTTTTCACAAATCGACGAAATTTTCCGAATTCAATTCGAGTCCTTTTGTACAAGTGATTCGAAATTGTACATATTCTTAGTTTATCAGAAAGGCAAAGAAGAAATCATATGATTACTGTTCGAAATCGATGTTACATAATTTTTAGAAAACGAAAAGGGGGCACGCATCCGTGATCGAATTAAACTCGATTCGAATCAAATGAAATAAAATTATGACCGCTTTCTCTCCAATAAAATTTTAATTAAAAAGGCGAGCTCGGTACCGAATGGCGTAATCACAAAAATAAAATTCGAATCGAACTTGATTCAATCACGGATGTCGTTATTAAGGCCCAGGTTAAGAAGAGTTCAGCTGAATAGTTTTT